AGACAGCAGAGAGAGAGACAGACCAGAGAGAGAGACAGCAGAGAGAGAGACAGCAGAGAGAGAGACAGACCAGAGAGAGAGACAGCAGAGAGAGAGACAGACCAGAGAGAGAGACAGCAGAGAGAGAGACAGACCAGAGAGAGAGACAGCAGAGAGAGAGAGAGAGAGAGAGACCAGAGAGAGAGAGAACGGAGAGAGACCAGAGAGAGAGAGAGACAGCAGAGATAGAGATAGAACAGAGAGAGAGAGACCAGAGACAAAATGGACCCATGCAGACACCGTAATAACATTTAAAGAGGAGCTGGTCCTTTTAGACCAGACCTGGACTAAATGCGGTTTACATTTCTATGCGACATCACACTGCAAAAAGTGATGAAAAATAAGTCACAAACTGCTCAAAATTGGTCAAATGTATCTGAATTTGAGCAAATTTTGACTATAGCCTTAAAACTAGATTATGCCAATGGGACAAAAAGCAAAATGAATTGGTATGAGAAAGCAATTATTACCTCATATTTTATCATTTGGGACCAGAAAGAAAGAGCAGAGAGAGACCAATGAGAGAGAGAACAGAGAGACACAGGGGAGAAAGGGCAGAGAGAAAGAAACCTGAGAGAGAGAGAGAGAGAGAGAGATCAAAGAGGGAGAACAGAGAGAGAGACACAGGGGAGAAAGGGCAGAGAGAAAGAAACCTGAGAGAGAGAGAGAGAGAGAGATCAAAGAGGGAGAACAGAGAGAGAGACAAAGACAGAGAAGAGAGAGTTCAGAGAGGGAGAACAGAGAGAGATTAAAGAGAGAGAACATAGAGAGATCAAAGAGAGAAAGAAACCTGAGAGAGAGACCAGAGATATAGATAGAACACAGAGCGAGAGACCAAAGGGAGAGAGAGAGATCAGAGAGAGAGAGAGAGAGAGAGAGAGAGAGAAGTTAGAATCTCTCGTCTCCCGCTTCTCGCTCTGGTGGCTGTAATTGTCACCATGGTGTGGGGCAGTTAGTGAGACTGTTCTCGTGGAGTTGTGATGTCACACTGCCACAGGTCAAACCACTGTTTACTCAGAGGCCAGAGGCAGCACGACCCAGGGCGGCTGTGGCTTTGGCTGCGGCTGGCCTCAGAGAGTGAGCAGTTACTGAGTCTGCATCAGCTCCAATCCAATCTCTTCATTTACAAAAAAATAATATACTTTTTTATTTCCGATGATTTTTAAGTCTTTTGTAACTCACAGAAAGCTGCATTGGCAAGGAACAGCTGTAAAAACCCAGAGAGAGACCACCAGAGACCAGAGAGAGAGAGAGAGAGAGATCAGAGAGAGAGACCAGAGCGAGTACCAGAGAGAGACTAGATAGAGAGAGAGCAGAGAGAGAGACCAAGAAAGAGAGACCAGAAAGACAGAGAGAGAAAGCAGAGCGAGACCAGAGAGAGAGAGAGAGAGCAGAGTGAGACGAGAGCGAGAGAGCAGAGTGAGACCAGAGAGAGAGAGAAGAGTGAGACCAGAGAGAGAGAGCAGAGTGAGACCAGAGAGAGAAAGAGAGAGAGAGAGAGCAGAGTGAGACCAGAGAGAGAGAGCAGAGTGAGACCAGAGAGAGAGAGAGAGCAGAGTGAGACCAGAGAGAGAGAGAGAGAGCAGAGCGAGACCAGAGAGAGAGAGAGAGCAGAGTGAGACCAGAGAGAGAGAGAGAGAGAGAGAGAGAGCAGAGAGAGAGAGAGAGAGAGCAGAGCAAGACCAGAGAGAGAGAGAGAGCAGAGTGAGACCAGAGAGAGAAAGAGAGCAGAGAGAGATCAGAGAGAGAAAGAGAGAGAGAGAGAGAGAGAGAGAGAGAGAGAGCAGAGTGAGACCAGAGAGAGAGAGAGAGCAGAGTGAGACCAGAGAGAGAAAGAGAGCAGAGAGAGATCAGAGAGAGAAAGAGAGAGAGAGAGAGAGAGAGAGAGCAGAGCGAGACCAGAGAGAGAAAGAGAGCAGAGAGAGGGACTGGTGCTGATATTGATGTCCTTCTAAAATGAAAGTATAAACATTTTACCCAGAACCAAGTTGAATGTTGTTAAAGAGATTCTTTCAGACTTAGACAAAGAAGCAATAGTTTCATTTTCAATATTTACTTTTAACTCAAACCAGATTTCAGAAAAAAGAGCCATGTTTTGTTTTTTCAGGATCAACACAGACACTGAAAATTAGTTGTCAAGGAGACCGATAACATAGATAGATAGAGGCAATATTTATTAGCAGCAAAAAATATAATTTAAGTAGCTGCTATGTTTCTTAGCTAGCTGTAAATCTCTATATATAGTGTAAAGTTATATACAGGACATATCTATGTTCAGGATAGTGAGAAGATAAAGAGACATTCAAAGGACATTAGTATTTACTATTTACAGATTAGCAGCGGTACAAACCACCCATATTTAGATTTTTCAAAATGTTTGAAATTGTATCCATAACTCTGTGCTGCGAGGGCCATTCAACACCACTTGCGGTTTTAATTGTGTATTGTATATCAAAATCCCTCCTCATTTCGCACTCACACAGAGCTCTGGTGTCAGTGGATGGTGTGTGTTGTCTGTGGCAGCACTTCTGACACGCTGTCCACATTAGCTGCAGGTATTTGGGTTTTAAACTTGTCTGCTTCCAATCCGCTCTTTTAGCTCCGCTGCTTTACTCTCTCGCTGAAGAATGAGCTGAGACATAAAACCACTGCTGTTTTCTGATTACTCTGCAATTTATGTGTTGGGTTTTCAGGCCACAGCGAGAGTTTGAGCAGGTTTTGAATGGGATTATTCTAAAGACTTGAGAGAAAAGTTGAGCCATTTGGTTGAAAAAACTATGGGTATTGTTTAATAACTATTATTTATAGTGGAGCATGGGGCTTCCGGAGTAGTCAATTTGACGGCTTTTTTGTGAAGTGTCATTAAGAGAGAGAGTCCAGAGAGAAAACAGAGAGAGAACAGAGATAGAGACGAGGGAGAGAGACCAGAAAGGGAGACAAGAGACTAGAGAGAGAGAGAGACTAGAGAGTGTGATTAGAGAGACCAGAGAGAGACAGAGAGAGATAGAAAATAGAGATAGAGACCAGAGAGAGAAACCTGAGAGAGAGACTAGAGAGAGAAAAGAGACTCGAGAGAGAACACAGAGAGAGACCAGAGAGAGACTAGAGAGAGAGACCAGAGAGAGACTAGAGAGAGACCAGAGAGGGAGACCAGAGAGGGAGACCAGAGAGGGAGACCAGAGAGAGAGACCAGAGAGAGAGACCAGAGAGAGAGACCAGAGAGAGAGACCACAGAGAGAGACTAGAGAGAGAGACCAGAGAGAGAGACCAGAGAAAGACCAGAGAGAGAGACCAGAAAAAGACCAGAGAGAGAGACCAGAGAGAGACTAGAGAGAGAGACCAGAGAGAGACCAGAGAGAGAGACCAGAGAGAGACTAGAGAGAGAGACCAGAGAGAGACTAGAGAGAGAGAGAAGGAGAGAGAGAGGATGAGAGAGACCAGAGATAAAGACAAGAGAGAGAGAGACTAGAGCGAGAGAGACCGTAGAGCAGGTAATGGCTTTTAACAGGTTTATCAGTAATGGTCTATATTAATGCTGATAATTGGTCGCCTTCTAAAATGAAAGTAAAAACAATTCAAAGAGACTTGAGAAGGGACGAGTTAAAAAGTTTTGAGTGATTAGTACCACCATTTAATCACTTCCATTTTTTCTCAAATTGAAATAAAAAATTAAAGTTGGGGTACCTGTTTTTCTATTTCCAAGCTTTTTCTCCTGCATATTTGGCCTTTTTCACATTTTTAGACCAACTTTTCCAGACACAAAAGTGAAAAGAGAGGCCCGCCCTCACTCAGCCAATCAGCTCTCTGCCCAAAGAGTCAAAAAGTGACTCTCTGGGATCTTTCTCACACAAATAAGATCGTGGTCGGAATTGTTCACAAGGTTTTGCTTTTTACACGACTCATTCTGCTTGGACAGACTCATTCTGCTGGGACAAACATGTGTTTTTTTGTTGGTTTTTTTTTAAACAAAAGTTGCGTACTCCAGCTTTAAGCCTTTAAAGCCATGGAACAAAACCCTGAATGGACTTTGAGTTTGTCACAATAACCCACTTGTTTCTCTTAAAAACATGACACAGGGACATGTGGAGAGGACCCTGAGCTCAGCACATCTACAGCTGTTTATGTTGGTTCAGACTGAGCAGATTCTTATCTGGGTCCAGCAAAAGGAGGGGGAGGGGGAGGTGGTGGTGGTGGTGGAGGGGGAGGTGGTGGTGGTGGTGGAGGAGGAGGAGGTGGAGGGGGAGGTTGAGGAGGTGGTGGAGGAGGAGGAGGCTTCTGAATGTCCACAAGACAATGGGGACTATTGATAGATCTATGTATGTCTGTCTGTCTGTTTATCTATCTATCTATCTCTCTTGCTGTCTGTCTGTCTCTATCCACCTATCTCTCTATCTATCTATCTATCTATCTATCTGTCTATCTGTCTATCTGTATATTTCTCTATCGATCTATCTTGTCTATATATCTCTCTATCCATCTACTTCTATCTCAATCTCTGTCTCGTTCTCTCTATCACTGTTTCTTTACCTCTATCTATCTGTCTATCTATCTATTGTTCTCTGTCTCTCTCTTTCTATCTATCTATCTCTGTTTCTTTATCTCCATCTATCTCTCTTTCTTTATCGCTATCTATCTTGTTATGGCCTTTCCTCTGTTCGAACTCTTTGATTTTCGGATCTGTTGTTGACGAATCGACAACTTTGCAAAGTCCTCTGAGAGACGGCTGCAGTTGTGATTTAGGGCTGTGCAAAAATACACTGATGACGGAACCGAGCGAGATGGATTTTATTGTATATTTGTGGCTTAAAAGCTCAGACTGGTCCATACTGGTTTATACTGGTTTATACTGGTTCGGACTGGTTCGGACTGGTTCAGACTGTCTTGTGTAGGTCTGGAGTCTATCTGGTGGTTCACACACGTTCAGTGAGTTGCTGACTGGTGTTTCCTGTTGTGTTTCTCAGGAGCGGAATCGTCCGTTTGATGCCTTCAGTTTGCACTCTCTGGGAAACTCTCTCATGGACATGATCCGCACCGACCACGACAAAGGTACCTCTACACTCTTTATACTGGGTTAAACTGGTTCATACTGGTTCATACTGGTTTATACTGGTTTATTCTAAGTTTATAGTAAGTAGTAATCTTTAGCGCCTTTCACAGACCAGAGTCAAAGCGGTTTACAGTTGTGGGCATGAGTCTGTCACTCCACACAGAGATGGGAGCGGGGCAACAGACCTCGTGTTTATCGTGGTAGGGGAAACTGGAGCACCCGGAGGAAACCTACGCATACACGGGGAGAACATGCAAACTCAACTCAGAAAGGCCCTGGTCCGACCGGGATTTGAACCCAGGGCCTTCTTGCTGAGAAGCGAGAGTGCTATCCACTCAGCCACCGTGCCACTTGTTCATACTGGTTTATACTGGTTCCTACTGGGTGTACTGGTTCAGACTGGTTCATATGGAGAGAGGATCTGCTCCCACATATGGACGAGCTGTAGACCCAGGACTGAGGAGGGAGGTGCAGCCCACGGTCCGGGCCTGGACACGTTGGAGGGACTAGGTTTCCCAACAGAACATTTTGTGAACAAACGAGTCATTTGCGCCGTGTTTCCTCATATTTTTCTGTGTTTTCCTTCACTTTTATCTATCTATACATTCAGAAGTGTTTAGCCAAAGGGAATGAGGAGGAATTATTAAAAGCTCGTACATTTCTTTTCCATTTTTTTTTTATGACTAGAATCTTGTCCAATAAATTCAGAGTCCGTGGAGGGTTTAGATCTGGTCTTTGGTCGAATCCTCCGTCTGTGGATCACACACATGCCCATATAAGGACATCTGGTGTATATTATGGTCTCGTGAGCTCTGTAAAAACCTGTGCCATGGCCAGACCAGAACCAGGACCAGACCAGAACAGGACTAGACCAGGACTAGAATAGGGCCGGACCAGGACTAGAAAAGGACAAGACCAGGGCTAGACCAGGACTAGACAAGGACTAGACCTGGACTAGACCAGGATCAACTTTGAGTGTGCCAAGAGAGAACTAGACCAAGACCACACCAGGACTAGACCAGGACCAGACCAGGACAAGACCAGGACTAGACCAGGACCAGACCAGGACCAGACCAGGACCAGACCAGGACAAGACCAGGACAAGACCAGGACAAGACCAGGACAAGACCAGGACAAGACCAGGACAAGACCAGGACAAGACCAGGACAAGACCAGGATCAACTTTGAGTGTGACAAGAGAAAACTAGACCAAGACTAGACCAGGGCTTGACCAGGACCAGACCAGGGCTAAACTAGGACCAGACCAGGACCAGTCCAGGAACAGACCATGACCAGATCAGGACTAGACCAGGATCAAGACCAGACCAGGACCAGGACCAGACCTGGACCAGGACTAGACCAGTATCCCTCAGTCGGTGTGAGGGTCCTGAGGTTTTACAGAGTGTGTCATCTCTGCTTCATTAATCCAGTCTAAGTCCACATGTCATTTTTCCTCCAGTCTTTAAAAGCAGTAAGAAGTTTGGCTTTTGAAAAGTTCATCTTATACATGTTGTTACTGTTAGATAATTTAACTATTAATTATAACTTCACTTGGTTAAATAACCAATTTAGACAGAATGTCCAAAACCTACTATTATCAGCTGTAGGTATCAGCAGGGGTTTCTCAGGTGTCTGGACTTGCTTCCTGTGGCTTCTGCTTGGTTTGAATGGCCCTTAGAGGACCGCTTTGACTCTCCTGGACTAAGACATTCAATATTGCATATGGTTTTGGTGCTTAAACCCTGACAAAAATTTACAAAAATATACATAACTAAGCCGGATGGCGTTCAAATAGAGCCTATGAACATGGAATCTCCCAGTGTGTAAAACGTGGTGGTGATAGAAGCTTAGGTGATGAGGACATGGGGAGAAAATGTCCCACTATCGGAGGTGATTAGCACGAGCCGAAGCTTATCGCGAAAGATCCGAGACTCTGTACAAACGCAGCCAGTGAAGGCTTGTTTCGTTTATGACACCTTTTAGATAATGATTGGGTTTTAAAACGTTCTAAATATAGAATACTGAGCCTCATGTGTCACAGACCAGTCTCACTGTAGCTACTGAAGGACATTACGTCTTGTTTGGACTCAAAAGAACTGTAATTACTGTCTGATTTACTGTCATTCCTGCTGCAGAGCGAAGCCTCAGTCCTGTTTGGATCCACCCTCATTCACTCCATCGCTCACATTTCTCACATACTTTTCATTGTGTTGTTTTTCCGCGTGTTTCTGTGGAGTGTGGATGGCAGGTTTGTGACGACGCGAGCCGCAGTGACTCACTCAGGCAGAAACGCATTGATGTGGAAAATTAACATTGTGGACTGGAGTGTAAACATCATTAACTACAAATTAAAACACAAAATGATTATTCCCTTGCGATATATAAGCGCAGGGTAAAGTGTAGATTGTGCTGGATTTTAGCAACAGCTGCGAGATGTGGTGATATGAGAGTTTATTTATTTTGAGTTCAATGGACATTAGTTATTAGATTTTTAGATTAGATTAGAGTTTTCTGACCAACCATTCATTAAGAATTACCTTTTTAAACTGAACAGGAGTGAGAGGAAAACAAATCTTATGAATATCAAAATATTTCACTTCATATCCTGTATTTTTCCAACGGGGATCAATAAAGTATCCATCTATCTATCTATCTAACTATCTGTCTATCTGTCTATCTATCTGTCTATCTAACTATCTATCTGTCTATCTGTCTATCTGTCTATCTATCTATCTATCTAACTATCTGTCTATCTATGTATCTATCTGTCTATCTGTCTATCTGTCTATCTATCTATCTATCTAACTATCTGTCTATCTATGTATCTATCTATCTATCTATCTGTCTATCTGTCTGTCTATCTATCTATCTATCTATCTAACTATCTGTCTATCTATCTATCTATCTAACTATCTGTCTATCTATGTATCTATCTGTCTATCTAACTATCTATCTGTCTATCTGTCTATCTGTCTATCTATCTATCTATCTAACTATCTGTCTATCTATGTATCTATCTGTCTATCTGTCTATCTGTCTATCTATCTATCTATCTAACTATCTGTCTATCTATGTATCTATCTATCTATCTATCTGTCTATCTGTCTGTCTATCTATCTATCTATCTATCTAACTATCTGTCTATCTATCTATCTATCTAACTATCTGTCTATCTATGTATCTATCTGTCTATATATCTGTCTATCTGTCTGTCTATCTATCTATCTATCTAACTATCTGTCTATCTATCTATCTATCTAACTATCTGTCTATCTATGTATCTATCTGTCTATCTAACTATCTATCTGTCTATCTGTCTATCTGTCTATCTATCTATCTATCTAACTATCTGTCTATCTATGTATCTATCTGTCTATCTGTCTATCTGTCTATCTATCTATCTATCTAACTATCTGTCTATCTATGTATCTATCTATCTATCTATCTGTCTATCTGTCTGTCTATCTATCTATCTATCTATCTAACTATCTGTCTATCTATCTATCTATCTAACTATCTGTCTATCTATGTATCTATCTGTCTATATATCTGTCTATCTGTCTGTCTATCTATCTATCTATCTAACTATCTATCTATCTAACTATCTGTCTATCTATCTATCTATCTATCGGGCGGCACGGTGGCTGAGTGGATAGCACTCTCGCCTCTCAGCAAGAAGGTCCTGGGTTCGAATCCCGGTTGGACTAGGGCCTTTCTGAGTGGAGTTTGCATGTTCTCCCCGTGTCTGCGTAGGTTTCCTCCGGGTGCTCCGGTTTCCCCTACCACTAAAAATATGTACAATAGGTATGGCATGTGCCTCCTGTACTGGCACCCCCACCCAACAATTGTAAACCGCTTTGAGACTCCGATGTGCAGTGAAAAGGCGGTATATAAATAAAAGCTTAAAAAAAGCTTACTACTTACTATCTATCTAACTATCTGTCTATCTATGTATCTGTCTATCTGTCTATATATCTGTCTATCTGTCTATCTATCTAACTATCTGTCTATCTATGTATCTGTCTATCTGTCTATATATCTGTCTATCTGTCTATCTATCTATCTATCTAACTATCTGTCTATCTATGTATCTGTCTATCTGTCTATCTATGTATTTATCTATTGATCTGTCTTGTCTGTCTGTCTGACTATTGGTTTTATAGGGAAAGACTATTCAGAAGTGATAAGTATGTTTCATTCTGACAGGACAGAAGCAAATGATAATGTTTTAAAACAGCAGAGAATTGTATAAAAGATACATTATTCTTTATTTTGTATTCTCTCTCTCTGACTGTTGCACTGAGCCAAAGAAATGTCCAAGTCTGTGACCTCCTGTTACTTACGTGGCAATAAAAATGATTCTGATTCTGATTCTGATGTCCAAAAGCATTTGTAAAGTGTTCAAAGGAGAAGCTGCTGCGATGATGTCACACATGACTCAATGTTGTGGAGGTTGGACTCTACTTTTCAGAACTTTAAGTCTGAGAAATGCACCAAAGCCACTGAGGAAAACTGTGATAAAACACGGTCCACTGTGTTAGGTCTTGGTTCAACAGGTTTTATGCATAATTTTAATATGTTTTAATAAAGTTTGAACCAGTCTGGCCCTCGGCTTGTTGCAAATTTGTTGTTTTGGCCTCTGATGTCTTTGACTCTGACATCCCTGGTCTAAAGACAGTGGGGATGATCCAGGACACTCCACATTCGAAGACATTTATAGACTTTGTAAGTAAGTAAGTAGTAGTAAGTAAGTAGTAAGTAAGCTTTATTTATATACCGCCTTTCACAGACCAGAGTCACAAAGCGGTTTACAATTGTTATTTTTTGGGCACTTGTCTCTCACTCCACACAGAGATGGGAGCGGGGTCGCCGAACAGGAGGCGCATGCCAGACCTATTGTAAATATTTTTAGTGGTAGGGGAAACCGGAGTACCCGGAGGAAACCTACGCAGACACGGGGAGAACATGCAAACTCCACTCAGAAAGGCCCTGGTCCGGC